TGACGGCTCCGTGGCGCAGTGGCTTAGCAATGAGTTGCTGCGCTGGGGGGCGCGGGTTCGAATCCCGCACGGAACAAGTATTTTTATGGCCTACAAATGATTGTTCCGGGTCTGGATGTTTGTCCTTGTGAAATTTGTGTTTGTAAACTGCCTCCACGATACAGGAGAAAATCCTAGTGTAGGGGTAACGTTTTTTATAAAGATAAAAAAAAATGCGTTATCACCCGTGAGTACTAAAATGAAATGCCTCTTTTCCAGTAAAAAGGGTCTCCGGTTCTCTAAACTCACCATACGAAACACAGCAGTGTTAAGCTGCTATTTTACGCTGGTATTCTGTGAGATCGTGGTCCTTCCCCGGTCGAGCCGACCCATTCGTGCTACAACTATACTACTGATATAGCTGCAGCATGGCTCTACCACGTATAACAATATGTATTGGTATAATTTACAAATCAAAATGATATAAAAATTTATGTCACAGTCGTGTAGTTGTAAAAATAATAGATCAAAGCGCCAAAGGGTATTAAAATTTCCTTACATACAACGAATTTGGTTCATATCATTATATTTAATTGCTGAGAGTTACAAAATATAAACTTATGACTTACAGCCGTAGTCTAATAACAGCTGTTGTAAAAGCAGAATTAATATGATTCTTAAATATTTGTATGTCTATCTGTCTCTCCGGGTTAATCTTCGAAATAGTTAAGCCGATTGTAATAAAACTTTACAAACAGATAAAAAACAATGCCAGGAGTGATATAGGCTATATTTTATCTGAAATCTTGGAGAATTTTGAACAATCAAAAAATTAAATATCTAATCATGAATAGCACATCATTAATAGATGCTAACCAAGCGAAGCCAGAGAGGCTCGCTAGTATCGATCATAAGTACAGAACTTACGGGTCAGATACGGCACAATCCTTCTCGTCGCTGCAGTATGGACAGTCTGCGGATCCATTCCACAGACTAAAGCTGCTCACGCAGGTGCCATCATCGCAAGCCACTTCGTCTGTACTACAAAAAAAATCAGTATTTATTATAATTGAAACGGTACAGCGGCTCCTCAAGACTGCCTTGAAGCAGAGGTCGACCAATTAGTGACCTTATATTCACAGATCCTAATATCACACCACGTTAGTATCGGTGACAACGAGGTGAGCGTGACCCCTGAGTAGGTGTGCCACTCCAAGCCCGTCTGCACCCTCTCAAAAGAAAGGTAAGACGACTCAGATTACGGGTCCCTATGGAATTATCCCGGTCTTGACGTCAGTCATCAGTGAAATGTATTTCGGGAAGTAGGTTCGACGCTGACTCGTCTCGCCTCGTAGATCTTATTTAATTTAATATTATTAATGTTTGTTTTTTGATTTAATTTTTTGAAAATCTTTGAAACGGCTTGACCGATTGACTTGAAAATCTAATCAGCTCGAAGTCTCAATGAACACTTTCGAATACCCATCTCGATCGGGTGCTTTGTTCTCAAGATATCGTACGACAACATTTTATTTACATACATAGATACACACACATACATGCACACACACGGCCGCACGTCCAGCCGGGAATAGTCGGAACGGCTTCCTAGGACCTCAAAACGTGGAGATTTGATGAAAACTCGCATTCTCAAAATCGAACCTAAATATATAACTTTATGAATCTTCAAAGCGGGAAGTTAAAAATACAAAATGTCCTATTTTTGCAGAAAACTGTGTTTTTTTAATTGAATAAAAAGTTCCACTTTCCGTTTTCCGTTCCACACCTGTATGAGGCTGTCGTGCTGGTCGAAAAACGTTTAATTTTTTGACCTTACCAGCGGTTATAGGTACTTACGATGAAACTTAGTAGAATGGTAATCTTTATTACAAAAGAAATATTTCTTGGCTCGGGGATGGAATATTGCCAATTTCCTGACTCCGGGTTGCTACTGAAAATTTCTTGACTGAAAATACTGATTTTGGTCCGACCCGAAATTCAAAGGCGGGACCACTAGACCAACGAGACAGTTAATATCGACATACAGGGTAAGTAAGGAGTTTATCAGTGATGTTATAATTATTAATTTTGTTTATATAAACTTCATACACACAGAATAATGGTGTTAGAGATAGATATTAGATGTAGTTCATTGCCTAAGGCATTCTCTACAAGTCGTTATGTTGAAGAAAACCCAAAAGTGCAAGTAGGAGTCGCGCCCTGAGGGTTCCTATAAACTTAATCGATAATCATGTATGTAGATAGTCCGTCCATTCTGGAAATCATATGTTAGTTAAGCACCGAGCATTGGTCCAAGGAAAATACACGTCAGATTGAAAGAATCAGATCAGATTACGTGGTAGAGCAATACTTCATCTATATTAGTAGTATCCGGCGATCAAGGAAGCCGTGGTCTCACAAAATACCAACATAAAATAGCAGCTTAACGCACTCGCAGTAGAATAAATTTATCACTCATACAACAGTCTCCATCACGTCGATATTCCAACAGCAAAGGTATGTTTCTAATCGCAAAAAATATTTTTTATGGGTTATAACTACAAATAACCGATTTTTTTTTTCGCCACTTTGCATTCGATATTAATATTAACTTAACCCATTTATGGGAAAAAGGTGTCTTGACACACGGACAATGAAGTGATATTATAAGTATTTCTTTTTGAGGTAAGAAACCCTAAAATATTGAAATTTCAGTTTATATCAAGCAAAAGTTTTCTTGGTGTAATGTAAACAAATAACTGCTTTATTTTCATAAAACAAGTTTCAAGTTAACACAAACGACAAATTTTGTAACAAGGGAGCAAAAAATATAAGACTATTTACTTAACTTTTAAATTAGAATGTAATACAAAACAAAATATTCGTTGTAATATTTTAGCCTTATCGTTATAAAATTGTTTTGCTTAAATTATAAATTACGATGGCTTAGCAAATGTAACGTACAGCTTCTGAGTTCGATTTCCTGTCAACATATTATGTATGTGAAATAACCTTGTCAGTTGTCAGTACTGAATGTATTGCAAGTTTTCACTAAACGTAGTGATTATATTCTCTTTGGTTTTCACCTTTGCAATCATTATGATAACGCCAGGCCACACAACAAACGTTAGCAAAATTGGCGGAGCTTAAGCTTGGCCTTCCCTCGTCCACTTAATTGACCTAACCATTTTTTCATTTTTTTGAAGTTTAGATAGCTTTTGGGTAGGCGAAAATTTAAAAACCCAAAGAAACAGTAAATTAAGTAAAGTATTTTAGGAGTATATCGGTTCTCGTACAGCAGTCATCAATATCGTGAATGTTTACAAACTGTACATCATCTGGTAAGAATATGTATATTATTAGTTTAGGAAAATATTCTGATTAATTTAAGTTGTTTTTTTTTAAATTTCAAATTTGCCATTCTAAACAGCAACTTATCTTACGCGCCCTTATGTTCCAAGCATTGCCTTGTACATCCGTGAGGTAAAAAGTTTACTTTACAAAGGCGTGCGCGATTGAAAGACGCGTGTCTTGAATTGAATATGAGCTTGTAATAAGTATTAGTATAACTATAGTTTATCTTATTGATCGTGTAAATAAAATTAACATTTAATTAAACATGGACTATTAGAGAGAAAAGAAAAACATCTCAGCATTATAGCTTTTATGCGACTGAAGGTGACTCTATTTTCTTTTAAGACGTGTAACAAAATATCTCTGAGATTTTTATCGGAGGGATATACTTTTACAGTAGTTTCATATACCTACTAGCAAATTCTTACTTTGATCCATGTTTTCCTTTCTATTGTGTTTATAATTACAAAGTAAAAATATAATATAAAAATAAAGCGTAAAATTCAACGACTGTAAGACATGGATTTCTATTTGAATTCAGTACGTGAGGCTTAGAACATGATCACGTGAAAATCACTGTTACAGCGTGCACACATGAGAATTTTTTTCGTAACTAAAACGCTAACAGAAAATAAACTAGTATTACTTTTAAAAAGCTTTTATTGTTATTAATTATTAAAAGCTTTTATTCAACTTGCAATGTATGTTTGTTAAGGTCAAATCTAGCAACTGAATTTTAAAGAAGTTATCCTCAACCAATTGAGCAAAAGTTTTGCATACATGATTAGTTTGGATGACAATGCCAGGTTAGCTAAGTGATGTCTTACTAAATCCAAAATGGCGGACGGCTCAAGATGGCGGTTTAGTTATTTTCTATGGACTCCTATATTATGGGTATCAAATGAAAGGGTTTGTTGAGAAGAATACAAAAATAAAATGATGTCACTCTAAATCTAATATGGTGGACTCCCAAAGATGGGGGAGTATGTTTTTTTATTCACCGCCATAATAGCGATATCAAATGAAAGGGCTCGCTGAAATGAATACGAATAAAATGACTTGCGCGTTCAGTTCTTCGAGAAGATTGTGTACTACTGCCCATCTAAACGGTAAGGCTTATTGGGGTCGCGTCCTAACTAATATCGGCCTACATCCTAGACAAATACTAGCGGTGTTGAAAAAAGTTCAAACTGGTGGAAAACAAGATAGCCGCCATAGCAATTTCAAAGACTTACATATAACTCGACAAAGGTTAGGGATAGTTTGGTAGTACTCGAACAAATGTAGTAGAGACTAACAAGGGTCAACTGGTGGCAATAAAAAAATCAAGATGAATCTAAGATGGCGATCAAAAACCAACAATGACGCATTGACCCTAGAATACTAATGTTAGTCAATTCGACTAACACTGCACACAAATCTTGCTGTCTCTTTCTAATGAATGCGCCGCGCGACTTGATCATTCGTGTCAACTCAGTCGCCGGTCGGACGTTTACGGGAGTAACGGTGTCGAGCCGGTAAGTACAGCCATTTTGGAAATAATTCGTTTTTGTTAGTCGATATGACTAATGATTGGTATTTATGTAACTTTTGCGATAAATGTCTTTGTATTATTATCGTGAATTATTCGTTTGTCTATCGTGTTTTGTTTCATTTTAGATTAAAAAATGACTTCTTCACGACCCAGTAACACACGTAATTATACGGACGAAGAGTTGGCGAGATATTTGAATGATGAGGACAGTGATGGTGATGTGGAATCTGCTGGAAGTGAGACAGAGGACCAGTTAGAGATCGAGCAGCTGGAACAAACGGATGAAGAAGATAGGCCAACTGAGGTAATATCATCCAATGTATCTAACCCAGATTCATTTATAATATTCGAGGAGACTTCGACAACACAGGAGAGTACAGCCCAGGAGAGTAACAATTCTTTTCTTCGTTCAAATATCATCCCCTTTTCTCAGAGAGTTTTACGCGGGAGAAATAGGTATGTTTGGTCTACCGTAAGGCCCCAGTCCAATAGAACTTCAAGCTCTAATATTGTACATATATCCCAAGGTCCAACTAGTCACTGCAGAGGTATAAAAGATCCGTTGGCATGTTTTGAATTGTTTATAACTGATGAGATCTTAGATGAAATTGTAAAATGGACTAACGCAGAGATAATAATAAAACAACAAAATTATGCTACCCTTCGAAGCACTCAGCAACCCACAGACAAGTGTGAAATTAGAGCACTAATTGGGATCTTCATAATTTCCGCTGTTCTCAAAGACAACCACTTGTCTACTGACGAACTTTTCGACTCATCTTTATCTGGTACAAGATATGTACGAGTATCTACAATGAGCAAATATAGATATGAATTTCTTATACGTTGCCTTAGATTTGGTGATAAAAATTTAAGATGATCTTCTCAAAATAGGGACAGATTTATACCGTTTAGAAAAGTATGGGAGTTATTTATAGAAAAGTGCAGAACAAATTACCACCCTGGCATGTACATAACTATCGACGAACAATTGTTAGCCTTCAGAGGCCGATGCCCATTCAGGATGTACATCCCCAATAAACCCGCAAAGTATGGATTGAAAATAGTTATGATGTGTGATAATGGGTCAAAATATATGATCAACGCCATACCATATATTGGAAAAGCCACTGATACCGGGGGACTGACTCTAGGCGAGTACTTTGTAAAAGAGCTTACTCGACCCCTTCATGGTTCAAACCGAAACATCACAACTGACAATTGGTTTACGTCCATTCCTCTAGCTAAGTCACTACTTTGCGAGCCATATAAATTAACTATAGTGGGTACCTTGCGTTCTAATAAAAAAGAAATACCCAATGAGATGGTTAATACCAGAACTAGACATATAGTGACATCAATGTTTTGCTATGATGGTCCTTTGACCCTGCTATCATACAAACCAAAACCAAACAAGATCGTTTATTTGTTATCATCCTGTTCAGAAGAAGGAACTGTCAACCAAGAAACCAAGAAGCCACATATGGTTGAATTTTATAACCAAACGAAAGGCGGAGTCGACACGTTTGACCAAATGTCTGCAAAAATGTCCTGTAGCCGCAAGACGAATCGATGGCCTATGTGCATCTTTTATGGGATATTGAACATGACTTTTATAAACAGCTACGTTATTTATTATGAAAATAAACTAAATGCCAATGAAAAACCTTTAAATCGAAAACAATTCATGAAAGAATTGCATACAGCCCTTGTTAATCCTTACATGGAGAGACGTCTAACTAAGCCGACATTGCATAAAAAATTAAGAGCTAACATTCAAGATTTGGTTCCAGATAGTTCAGTAGAAAGTAGCACTAGTTCTAATGAAGCTCATGGATTGAAAAAAAAGGAAGATTTATAGCTATTGTCCGTATAAAAAACATCGCATGACCAAGTCTATGTGCTCAAAGTGCACCAAAAATATATGCGGCGAACATAAAGTTGAAATATGTGTCAACTGCAATAAAAACTAATAATATATTTTTTTGTGTATTCATAAAACATTATTCTATAATATTTAAGCTGACCCAGCAATAGCTAAATAATAAGAAAATAAATTAATAGTGAAAAAACATTTTTAAAAACAAGCTTTAATATAAATACTCTAAAAAGAAGAAAATAAACTTTAAATCAAATCCTTCAATTTATTACATTACTGTGGTGGACAGTTTAAACGATGTAGGTGTCGAATTAGCGGTACTCACTGTATTTTATTTTACTTTACTTCGATAGCTCTAATAAGGACACAGTATTAAAAGAAAGATGGGATAATTTACAATTATATATTAAACTATTTAGAATTGCGGCAATGACTAGAATAGAATAAAATAGAATAGAATGATTTTTTCAAAGATGTTTTATAGGTCCAGATACCGTATACGCGCGCCTAAAATGCTTCCATTTCAAAGGCACCAATATTGGTGTATTCGTTCGATCGTTCCGCTATTACGCCAGCGACGTTCACTGCGAACATACGTCACGCTCCGGTGTTTTTAATTTCGCAAAATGACTGTTTGTGCTGTGAAATCTTGTAAAAATTACTCTTGGAAAAAAGATAAGGATAAGAACATCACTTTTCATAAGTAAGTATACAATTTTATGGCGTATTTCTTTGTAAAAGAATTCGAAAGCTAAATGTCAATACAAGTAATAATACTGCGCAATAATATTCGAGTGTTGCCTAGTCTATGAAATGTTTTTACCATTTTTTAATGTCATGATCAACTGGAAAGGTTATCTGTAGAGGGGTTTTAAACGTTCTAATTTTACAGATTTTACCCAACCTATACAGTTAAACCGTTTTTAAGGCTTAGGGTTGAACTACATCTGTAGCACGGAATCGCATTTTCCTGTGCTTCTATCCTTTTTGGTCACTCAGAACCGTTATTTACTAGAGCGAGAAAGAGGGCGCGAGTGTGTTGTTCCACCCTCAAAAAGCCGATTGTAAACCGGTTTCAAAAGTTTATCTATCATTCTTGACAATCATACTAATATAATATTATAAATGTGAAATTTCAGGGTTTTTAAATAAAATTGTAATTTAAATAAATAAACAATGTTGATTTCATGTTTTTTTTTTACTTACATTCCTTCGCATAGCATCTGGTTAAAGGTATTCCTGTGGGATCGTTTATTTTTTACAGTATAAAATGTAGGCTATATACACCAAGTTTTACAAAGTTTCATTTTCTTTCAGTGGCAGGATTTCATTGATTTCATGTAATGATTTGATCAAGTCATGAAACTGGATCGATATATGAATTTAAAAAAAAATAAGCATTTGCTACGTACTATACGTAATATATAAGTTTACGCTTAACCAAGCTTACTTTTTTCGTCATTTTACTTAGGTCTGAAAAATAATTAATGTCTTCGTAAAAAGCGGCAATATTTTGTATTCTACAGTACAAAAGTGTAGTACTCTGTATATATTTAATAATAATAGATTATAAATATATGTTACGTACATAAATATCTACTGTGCTTTTTTATTTATTTTTAACTGTTACATTAATTATAGGTTTTATTACATATCTTCAATATTGTATTGTAATAGTGCGATGTTCGTACCTACATAAAACACATAACCAACCATACACATACACATACTCACACGCACATAAATGCATACGTCTCGCACATATATTTTATACTCGTAGAATCACTAGGTACGTCATTATGAATGAAATATAAAATTTCCCACATTTTTCGGGTAATCGATTCGGACTGTTATCACCGAAGTCACGCACATTAACGCAGCCATGGTGCGTAAGATATGCGCGTCACGTGGTACTCACGCTCACATGAATCAAAGACTGGCAGCATTATAAACGATGCGGTGTGTTAGCAACACGGTATCTGGACCTATAAAACATCTTTGGATTTTTTATTCAATATGGATTATTACAAATTTCTTTTTGAAAATCATTTTTATTTACCACGCTCTCCAGCACCTTAAAAACGGCAAGGCCCCAAGCGAGGATGGAATTACAGCGGAGCTTCTGAAAGCGGGTGGAAAACCGTTACTTGAAGTCCTTTAGAAGCTTTTAATTCTCCGTCCTCCATGGTGTCACTACACCAGAAGCGTGGAGCAGAAATGCGGTGATCTTGTTCTTCAAGAAATGCGACAACGCTCTCTTAAAGAACTTCAGACCGATTTCTCTTCTGAGCTGCGTCTACGTGCTGTTTTCGAGAGTCATTACGAATAATTTCGCATACAGACTCGGCGGCTTCCAGCCTCCCGAACAAGCCGGTTTCCGAAAAAGCTTTAGCACCATAGACCACGTACATACCCTTCGGGAAATTGTACAGAAGTCCGAGGAGTACAATTTGCCACTATATCTGGCGCATGTGGACTATGAGAAAGCCTTCGATTCCGTCAAAGTTTGGGTGGTGCTGCAGTCTTTTCAGCAGTGCCAAGTTGACTGTTTGTACAGTAGGGCTCCGATGGCTATCCGAGTACACAAGCAGAGTACGAAACCTATCTTGTTGCAGAGAGGCGTAAGACAGGGTGACGTTATATCCCTGAAACTCTTTACCGCTGCCTTAGAAGACATTTTCAAGCTTTTGCACTGGAAAGGATACGGTATTTACATCAACGGCGAGTACATCACTCTCCTACGATTTGCCGACGATATATTCCTTATGGCAGAATCACTGGAGGTCCTAAGCACTATGCTCAATGACCTCAGTAGTGGGAGGCACCCAACGGATAGGTCTTAAGATGAACATGGACAAAACAAAGATCATGTCTAACGTCCACGTCACGCCTATGCCGGTAGTAGTTGGGAGCACTAAGCTTGAAGTTTTTGATGACTATGTTTACCTGGGACAAGTAGTCGACTAGGACTTCCAACTTTGACTGAGAGGTCAATCGACGGATTTAACTCGGCTGGGCAGCGTTCGGGTAATTACGACACATCTTCTCATCAGGTATACTTCAAAACTTGAAAACGAGACTGTGCAACCAGTGCGTGTTGCCAGTAGCGTAGTGCGTACCTATGGAACTGAAAAATGGTTCTTCACTCCTGGCCGGATAAGGAAGTTCAAGGTCGCTCAGCGAACTATGAAAAGGGCTGTGGCTAAAACATAGAAATAAGGATATCCGTAGTAGAACCAGAGTGACCGACATAGCCCAACGGATTAATAGGCTGAAGTGGCAAGAGCCGGCCATATAAGCTCGAAGACCGACTCGAAAGAAGGTTTTCGAGTGGCGGTCTCGTACCGGCGGAGGAAGTGTAGGGCATCTCCCCACTAGATGGAGTGACGACCTGGTAAGATATGCAGGAAGTCGATGGATGAAGGTGGCTCAGGACCGGGCTTTGCAGCATTCCTTGGGGGAGGCTTGTGTTCAGCAGTGGACTTGTGAAGGGCTGTAATGATGATGATGATGAGTGTAATGTAGGTGTCTATGTAGTAGTAATGTAGGCAATGGATGCTCAATTTGCATACCAAAGTCATCCATTTCAAAATTAAATTACCTCGTGATATATTTAATACTTGAGAACCGTGGTAGTTCGAAAACTGGGCGTTGGTTTTAAACTTTGTGGTTGTATGTTTGACGTTTTTAACTTACAGCAAAAATAGCCCGAGTTTGAATCCCACCGCCGTGCGTTACCACATGGTAATGAAGGATAATATAATAGAGATACAGGAATATCCTACAAATTAAGAATATTTCAATGAAATAATAACTCTGCCATTAACCTTGGGTCACGGTGTACTTTCCCTATTTTAAAACTTTAACTCAAAATTATATTATGGAGGCCCGCATCTAGCTATGAGACGTATGTAGGCTTATGACTTTACTATCTCGTGACTGTAACTTGACGTCTCGAGAAAATTCCGGCAATATTTTATGTTTTTGATTCTTTGTAAATT